TTAGGTAAATCTTCTACTTGGGGTTTCTAAAATTTTTTTGGTCGCCTATCTTGCAGTATTTGTTAGAGGTTCTCAGTGCTTTATGGTATAATACCAAATTGCGGAAAATTACATGAGTGGCTTGACACAATTCTCCTAAACTCACAACTGAGTGCTTCAGTTCAAAGATAAGCATCTATTCTTTCCAAGGAAGTACAATCGTGAAACCCGGTAACTCATTCTCACTCTTCCACAGCGACAACCACAAAAGATAGTACTTTCGGTTAATGTTTATGTGTCAGACAATGCCTTGGGTACCAAATGTAATAAATATAGAATTTTATTGCAAAACTAGTCCTCACCAACGAGATGATTTAGCGCCCCTTACGTCAGTAGCCTATTCGAAATTAGGCCAGACTGTGTTCGGGTGACTGTGAGGAGCCCATTCGTTTCAGCCTGATTATCATACAGTTGTGGAAGAAAGCATATAAAATAATTGAATTTCCGCCAAGTTTATTCGTCTAAGACTTTATATAGCAACGATTTTGAGAACGATTTAAAAAAGTAAACAAGAACAACTGTCAGTAAACAAAAGTAATTCGAATGGGAAAGATCAGAGTGAAAAGAATGTGTGCAGGTTAGTATTTGCATATAGTACTTAAAACACAGGGGATTACTCTTCATAACCATTAAATGATAAACAAGGTTTTAGTGTGTATTTTAAACCAAAGGAGTTTTCACAAGCTATCCCTACAAATATTTAAATCGTAAACTGAGGTTACCATATATTTTAAGCCAGATTGGCAGACAAAACGTGGAGTTGTAGATAACAACACTATAGAATGAAAAGTAAATCTGCGGTTAGTTGACTGAATGCATAAGGGTTTGGATAAAAGTTAGCTGGAAGGTGTTCTATTGCTTATATGTATGGAAGGCAATCAGAGGTTATTTTGAAGGAAATTATTAAATGTCTCGATATATCCTATTGATAGTCCGTAAAACAAAAACTTCCTATATATCTAGTTCATTTACACAGTTTCGTTCCTTGGACCCTTTCATAAATGTGCGTTGTAAATCATCAGAAACATTCTTTTCAGCGCCTATTAGGCAAGTGATTTTAGAATCTTGCCATCCCCACCACCTTTCCGATCTGTTTATTTCCCTGAGGGGTTCATTACATGTTCCTAAGTGCTTCTGGCCTCATAATCGTTACTTGCATAAACAGACTGAGACCTAGTATAAAAACCTGAAGATATTTAGTTGCCTTTTACGTGTGAAAATTTTGAGTGATAATTTTTTGTAACTAAATAGTATACGACCACTGTAAATCAGCATTAATAAAAAACACTGATCAGAGCCTTTTTGATGGTTTCACGGCTAAGTTTTGCAAAGTGCTCGTGAAATGTGGAAAAGAATATCTATATGCTTTCCTCAGTTACACTAAGGATGTAATATTTTAACCTTTTACGAGGAGCTTTTGTGGTTTTGTGAATATCGTGCCCACTGTCTTTACTAAGGCAGAAATACCACTCGAAATGTTTAAAAAGATACAAAATAAGTTTTTTTCGCAAATTTATCCGAAAGCATCAGAAGAAGTGTCGGTTTTCGTTGTTACTCTGAATCTCGCAACCTAAGCCAGATAAGAGAAAACTGGTCCGTATATTCCTTTGGGTTTTATATCGAGTAAACAAGTTGTTAGTTCTTCAAAACCTGAATCATCGCAGCACTGTGTGTGTCTTAGTGACCAGCGGCTCCGTTTATAACTTTGAAACACATTTTTTGGTAAAAAAAAAAACAATTGCACAAACCAGTTTCTTCTTTCAACCTGTCTTGTAGTTCATGGACAGTTCCGAGGTGGCAGGACAAGGCCGTTCTGTTTCATGAGACTTAAATGTGCCACGCGCAATAATATTATTGGGCACTTAGTAAAACTAGTAGACCTCTTATGCTCGGCGCTCACAGCACTAAAGATGTTTCCTCGTATATTAATTTGAACCCCATTTACGCCCTAATTCTTCCTAAAGGCAGACCAAAATCACTTTAATAGACGACGTTGACTTTAGCTTGATCTTGTTTTTAGCACTGGATCGTAGGTACACTATCATCCAACGCCCATGTACAAGGAAGTAGTCTCGACTAGTGGTCACGTTCACAATCGAGTTTTTTTCAGGCTCCTCTAAGGGGTTTAGACTTTTGCCTGGCTAATTTGAGTACTGTTCACTCCACTCCACCCCCCGCCGATTAAATTTTTTGACATACCACGAGCGCGGTTACCAAGTTTGACAAACCCATCTTTGGCGCAGTGTTGCAATTTGTATGACTGTCCAGTAGGACAACT